CAATCCGAGTCACTATCCATTACTTCACAATGCCTTCTTTGTGGATAATACAATGCAAAAAAAAAAAAAAAGTCAATCTATTTTCTTTTCCTTTCTTAAAAGTAATGTTTTAATTAGAAAATACGTATTTTTAGCAAGTGTTTTTTGTTACCACTTATGAATGTGTGCCAAATGAAAGAATGCATATTATATATATATATATATATATATATATATATATAGATAGATAGATAGATATATGAAATAAGGATAAATATAAAAAAAAAAAAAAAAAAAAAAAAAAAAAATCAAATCTGTTGCTTTCAATCCCCATAAAATGACTGCTAAAACATGTTAAATGACACATTATCAAAATTTGTATAATGATGGTGATATCCAACAGAATTAAGTTTCTAAGTATATGATGACCAAGAGATAGATTATGAATGTTGTATTAATGGACTGATTATACATTATCACAATTCTACAGAAATAAAATAAAAGATAATTTTTTTTTATTGTGTAAATCCCTTAACTGCCACATCAGCATCCTCCAATCAATATAAGTTACATCAAATTTATAATTTTATCTGCAACTGTTAATTATCAGTAGGTTTAATCATTATTATCATTATAGAAGTATCATCATTGGTATGTGTTGTAACTTAGGGAAGGTTACTGAATAGAATAATCAAACGAAGGTTGGCAATGAACTAAAATACTTAGGACAAGAACAACACATATAAGATTTGCCAGTGACACATAAAAGCAGTCAACTGCTAAAAGTGAGTGAAGTGAATTTCACAATGAATCTCCAACTGCAGACCAACATACAGTATTTACTACTGTATTTATGTGAATGAGGACATACCTATTGTCATCTGTAGGTATGTCACTATTAGCTGATGAAGGAAAGTGCAGAAAAGTCAAGGATTACATTCTGGTTATTTGTCTGAAGAAACCTTATAGAAACAACTGTAATCATCATTTAAAACACCTTCAGTTATCTCCTTTGGATGGTTTAAAAAAAAAAAACTTATTTGTCTATTTATACTTAAAATTACTTAGAAATTGGTAATCTGATTTAGCTAGGAATTACTTTATTCTTCAAACTCAATTATTTTAACAGTATTGCATTACTAAAAGCTGCTCTACGATGTGTCGTTTTTCCTGTGCTACAGTTACAGAGAAATATGAACATGTTAAACCAGATGGAAGGTTTTAACCTGAAGACTTTCACTATTCAGACAAACAGAAAGATATTTTCTTTCAGTCAACAATGTATCAGCAGTCATTTATTTTATAATCAACTCAGGAATTATTATATATGCATGTGAGAGATTGAGAAAATATTTGAATGCAACTGACTGCAGACAATCTTTTTCTCTCTCTCCTTCCACTTATATATAAATTACTTAACCCCACCCTTGTCAGCACAAGGCAAGTTCGAGACACTCAAATTGGGATCCTGTGATTGTTTATCTCTTACTCTCACTTATCTTACCCACCCTCATGACAATCTAAGTTCCTCCATCACTTATTACCTCTTGACTAAACAACCTCACATTCTACTAAATAAAAGCAATCAATCCTAAGCCTTTTCATCTGCAAAAGGTTTTTTTTGTTTTTTAGTGCAGCAAAATTTATTAACAGACTGTGTAATTTGAGTGTGCATAACACAGACACACAAACACAGACAGTGCTACCCAAAACTTACTAATTTTTTTTTTTTTTTTTTTTTAACTTGGCTTTCTAAAAGACAGGAAAAAAAGTGATAGAAATCAGATTATTTCTTGACAAAATGATTTTACAAAATTCCTGAAATGTCCAGTAAAACACAGGAAATCCTGAATATCATCAAAGATAAACAGATCCTCTGAACTTTTGGCAGCACCTCATTTAATTTTTCTATTTTCCACCATTTTGTTTCTATTTAAAAATTTAACCTGTACCCATTTTTTTTTTGGGGGGTTCTTTTTTTTTTTTTTTGTTTGCTCCATGTAGACTAATTATTTGGTTTAAATCTCATTTTCTTGATTTCAAATGAAAACTCGGAAATTTTCACTTTCAAAAATTTTAGTTTAGATATAGAAAGAAAAATAAAGGTGGCAGTTTAAAATGACATCAGGAGAATATGGGTTAAGCCAATTCTATCTCCAGGCACTTTCTTTTAACTGATAATGACAGTGTCAATTGCTAAAGAGGAAAATAAAGGAAATGCTTACATTTTTAATATTTATACTGCCTGCCAGGAGAAAATCTGTTGTAACCCCCACCCCCAACTATCTATGAATAAAACTCAATTTCAAAGCTACAAGAGATATTTCCTCAAATGAACAGTCTACATTTATGATTGCCATGACAAAATAGGTTGTTAAGAAGAACCATGACAATAAAAGAATATCACACATGTTTCTAAAATAAAGAAGAAAATCTTTTTATGTTCTTTATTCTTTTTTTTATAGATGTTATAAATTATAATCTCTCAAATGATATTTACATCAATATGTTCTGACGAATAATAATAATAATAATAATAATAATAATCAAGAACAGAATTAAAAAGTATCCTTTTTAGCAGGGAGACCCTTAAATGCCTTCAGAACATTAAAACAAAACACATTTAGTACAAGAACCATTTTTCTAAAAACAGGCAGACAATATTAACTTGGTAACATATTTAAATCATGAAGGGAAAAAAAAAAAAAAAAAATCAACAATATGTCTAAGGTTTTTTAAAATATGGCTTCTTGGGATATCAATAACAGCTGGAATCTAATGTACATTGAAATTATTTTCTTAAGCAATGAAAAATCCATTTTTGTAGAACACAGACACACATCTACTTCTGACATTTTCTTTCTTATAAAATCTCAGAAAGGAGGAAATCAGCAGCTGAAAAATCAGTTCTTCTTAGATTCTTATTTTTTGTACCAATTCAAAAAAGATCCGAGTTGCATAGATAGTAAGTAATCAGGATCTGGTTAGATTGACAATAAAAATATAAACGGAGATTCCGTCTACAAAACATGGAAATTCAAATATATATTTTAAGTAAATCAGGAATGTACATAGTGTATGCTGGGAAGGAGATTTTTTAATAGAAAGTTATCAGCTTTCACTCAAGAAATTCTAAACCAATTCAAATTTTATCAATCAAGATTATTTTTTTTTTCCCATTTTCATTCTTTTATCTGCCAATGGAAACATTTCACAGTAGATAGGGTAGGAATATTTTTGTATCTGCATAAAAACATTATCTAAGCAACAGGATATGTGTGCATGCGAGTGATTGAGAAAGAAAGAAATGTGCTTTTTCCTTGCATCTATAAATGGAAATAGAATAATAGCACTTTGATAGTCAGGCAAATTTTCTATGCTCAATAAAAATATATGTTACATACCCTTTATATGTAACTATAACCATTTATTATTTCACATCTACTTATATACTTAAAGTATTTCCATAATAGATTTGACTTTTTCCAGCTTTTAGTGAGTGGGTGTTACATATACATTGATCAATCCAACCATGTGATTTTTCAATTGAAACCTTCTCTTGCAATAGTTACAAGTTGTTTTCTTATATTTTGTTTACTTTGAATCATACTATCTGAACAACACTTGCATTTACTTTTGTTTCATTACCAGAAGTTAAACTAAATTATTCATGGTACCAAACTAGTAACTATTTCTGAAGAAAAACTGCTTCCAAACCTACTGTTCAAACAAACAACTAATGTTCTTGCAAAGATACATTGCTCAGGTATCTCGGTCCCACACTTTCACTGTCAAAAAAGTTAAATATAACTGCCTCTTCCACTTCAATAGCTTCTTCTCTTGCACTTCCTACTTGCTTCCCTGATAGCTATAATCTTCAAATATTCAAATATAATGTCAATTACTATCTTCTGATCCTGATCCCAATCATTCTCTATATCCTTTCCTCAAACACCCCTCTTTACTCTTGCTCTCTGCAACCCCTTGCATGCTAGTAGTACTCCCACCTTGCTTGGGGTGAAATGCTTAAAATAAAAAAAATAAGAATCTATTCACAATGTCACTTTAAATTATTGGTTACACAGCCTGATCTCCTCTACTTAGTAGTGAACACTAAGAGCTCGGTTTTCTTTGGACATTATTTATTTTATGACTTAAAAAGCAAAATTTGTCTTTATATGTAACAGAAGTGTTAAATATACAGATAAATATCCTACATTACTGAAGCAGAAAATATACCCAATGTGATTGTAAAATGAATTAAATATGTCAGCATATGACTCATTATTTTTACTAGTTTATGAGTAAAAAAAAAAAAAAAATAAAGAAGCCATCTGTCAATTGATTTCATAATAAAACTTGTTTGTTAATGTGTCTATTCCTTCAATGTCTGATGAAATGTAAAAAGTAAACATGACAAGGGGAGGGTCTGCTTTGTGGTTGAGAGATTTGCGCATTTACCAAGAAATGTCTATTAAAACCCAAGTAAAAATCAAGCCAGCTTCTGCACTGAGCAGACTGGCCTTAAGGTAATTTCTCACATTAAGCCAAGGATAAAACAAAACAAACCTTAGTAAATATCTATGCATTAATGGAAAAAAGACCTTATCTTACTGCTTGTCTTGTAATCACTTAAAAGGACACATTTTGCTAATAAAGTGTGTTCCAATAACTTGAACCAATTTTAAATGTGAATTAAGTTTAAAATCAGTCCAAGTTACTGGAACACCTTTTATTTTCCTTAAGAAAATTATTCAACATGAAAATTATGTAATAATAATCACTTAAAGATAAAAAAAAAGACAAAATTAATCATTGAAGAAATGCTTTCTCATTGATCATTAGTAAAACAAGGCAATAACTATATCTTTCAAATTTTTTTCCCCATAAAAAAAAATATTTATTTAAAATGGCCTATTTTCTTAGTAAAAAAAACAAAAAACAACTGAAAGCAGAAATTTAAAAACCCATTCAAGTTGGTCTGATTAGCAATGGTGGTTAACAGAAAACCAATAATTTACCTTGGCTACGTCAATATAATTGCTCCATTTGACTGATGAAAGCAACAAAGCCAGTGATTCTGGGTAATGATGCTGTACTTCATGTCGTAAACGCCACACTAATTCTTTATCTTGTTCAAACATTTGATTCACTGGGCCCTGCTGAAGAATGGTAGACAACTGATCCATCACAATCTTGTTTGACCGCCACATCTGAAAGGAAAGAAAGAAAAAAAAAAACAACAGCTTATAATTAACTAGAAAATACGTTCTTTTTAATTATGATGATTTCATATTGTTCTCAAGGGATTAACAAAACATTTCATGAGGCTACCAAGGGATTAACAAAACATTTCATGAGGCTCCAAATAGTTTGGTTTGTTTTGTTTTATGGCATATCAACCTCATTGAGTTATTTAATGACAAAATTTTCATTGTTGGTAATATTTTTTCCTTATAAAATCTATTTTTGGTAAGAATTTTCTTTCACTGGTAATATTTTTTTCAAAAAATGTATTGCTGGTAATATATATATATATATATATATATTTTACACTTTCATAGTGTTTTGACCAGAGTTTGGGGGTTAACTATTTGCCCAAAGCTGGGACCCTAACAGGTGCTACCACCCTGGGTCAGGGCGGATCTGGGAACACCAGCAATTAAGAGGTGGTTCCACACTCCTCAAAACCTCCTGATCAGAGGCCTTGCTGTTGGACGTAGTTTATTGTCTTACCCAGGACACTGATGTAGTTTATCATCATACCCAGGATGGGCTCCAAATGGATTAACAAAAAAAATTTCATAAAGCACTCAAGGGATTAACACCAAATTTCTACTTCTTCTACCACTATATTTATCAACTTTTTTCAGATGTAAAAGTTGGAAAAATCAGGATTGTTCAGAAATTGCATCAGCCTCCATATTTAAAAGAAAAAGAAAAAAAGGAGAATGTGAAACTATACTCATGACTGTTCTATCATCATCATCATCATCATCATAGTTGCAAACAAGCAATTCAGAGTCCTGAAAATACATACTGTGGTCAAGCATCAGAAATGGTAGGTTATGGATTATAGCTTTAGAGACCAATATAACCAACAACTAAAGATGTAGTACATCTTATTAAAATCTTGTTCAATTATTCTTCATTGTTATTATTACAAGATTTTGATCAATATTGGGAATTGGTCAAGTATAGTTTTGTGTAATGTGTGGGTCAGGGTTTGTGACATTTCAATTGAATTCAGATCTTAATTAAATATGATAAGAGTAAAGGAGCCTTCCTGTCCAAGACAATCACAGGACAGGTGATTAAAAATAAGTGGCAAATGATTCTAAGTGTAATGCTATCATGGGTTTCATGACCAAAAAATTACTGACCCTGAGGTTACCACAGAAAGCTGCACAATATGTAGTGTTACATTTAGCAAATGAAACCCTATAGTCAGGGATGGGCTCATTATAGCTTATCCCTAGCAACACAGTTACTTTTCTTTTTATGTGCCATGTCCCTTCAGGACATGGGCGGTCATGGCTCTCCACTTCCCCTTATCCCTTGTAGCTCTCAATAAGTTTTAGCGCTTTGCTATTTCCCCCCAGGCTATGGTCTATCATCCACTTGCTTAAGCCTGTTAGGTATGTCATGCATAGCTTTCCCTTGTCTCTCTCTTTCCCTCTATTCATCCTGTGAGTATCAGATTCTCCAAACCTCCAAAGTCTTTTCCTAAGTTTCCTCCTTGTTTGCATCCTCTTCAAATACCTTATCGTTGCTCACACATTCAGTTCATGATATCCTTAGCATCCTTCAGTAGAACCATACCTCCGTTAGTCTCTTCTTCATCTTTGAGGAGACTGTCCAAGATTCACTGCTATAAAGGAGGACAGATGTCAGAGTTACAGAACAAGAATAACTCGGATTCTTTGACAATTTAGTGGTGTGTAGTTGTTTTATTTTCAAAATAGAGCACTTTTCTCTTAGCATTGTAATATCACAGGATTTCTTCTTTAGAGGATACATTCAAGAGCTTTTACTCCAAATTGCAATACATTTATTTTACAAATTGCAATCTGAGAGAATTGAAATAATAGATAAGTGAATTAATTTTTACAATTCAGTTTCTCATTAGAATGAACAAGGTCTAATCAATTTACAGTTGAGTTGGTTAGATGTAACTGTATAGTCTATAGGTCGATTTTCTTGCACTTCTCACTTGTGGAACTTCCATTCTGGCTCCATGCTTTCCAGTTGACTTTAATCTTCAAAGATTTAAATGCAATGTCAATCATTATCTACTGTCCTCCTGATTACTCTTTTGTTCTCGCTCCTTAGTAATGTTTCTGTTTTCTAATTCTTCCACACCCAGTGACCCCTTGTGGCTTTGCTTGAAATGAACGCAATTAAAAAAACAAAAAATTACCCATCATTTTAGCATAAGTACCAATTATATTTGTTCCATAATAGTTGTTATATGCCTATTTTCTTTTTGATTATTGGTAACATTTGTCAAATTTTATATCTTCTACTGTCATCTTCATTCTGATGCTATTTTAAATGCCAAAAATTCCAACCATCTAAATTACACTCCAACTTTCATCAGGTGATTGGAATTTCAAACCGAACCCTTTATTTTGCCCACCGGGGTAGATTGTTCTAGTTCCACATGCCAAGGACACATGGCCCAGTGGATAAAGACAGTTCAATTCGGTGACTAGACCCCAAAAGTTGTGAGTTCAATACCAAGCCACAGAGGTGGTGAACCAAAAAACTTGGAGAGTTGAATTAAAGGGAAATAACTGAGACATATGGAACTAGAACAATCTCAACCAAGTGGACAAAATAAAGGGTTCGGTTCAAAATTCCAATCACCTGAAGAAGGCCAGAGCATACAATGTCTGAAACTTTGTGAATATGGTATTAAAAATGAGGATAATAGTCCAAATAATGTAAATAATGCAAGTATTTTATTGTCAGAACAAATTTCATACACAAACTAACAATTTATGGGGTAGTGATAGGTCAGGTCAAGCCTCCTACTGATAACATGTAAGCCACTACAACCTATTGCATGGACTAGCGGTTGGCCTCTAAACCAGCTCCCCAACCAGCTTTTCTCTTGGTGAGGAGTGTGGCATGTCACCCCACAAGATGAAAAACAAGGTCTTCTAAAGAGTAGATGAGCTTCTTATAGGAGTTAATGACCAACATGGGTTCTCAAGTTTTGAATGACAAACTTCATAGATATGATATCTCAATGAAAACACTCAGTGTACTTGCATGAGTATTGAGTTGGGTGTTAGGAAGGGCATCTGACCTTGTAAAACCTTACCTGAAATCATTGACACCCTGTCAGGCAGGACCCACCTTGCTTTTTGCAAGATTAATCCCGGTCCTGCCTGAAAAAAAAACTATTATAATGATGATGGTAGTAATATATTCTTCCCAAATTTTATTATTATTTACAATGGTGTGCTGAAAATTTCTCGGACCACTCCACTTCCCAAACTCTGACCAATATTTTTTCTTAATTACTCCTGGGATGAACCAAAATCTTTTCAGTACCCACTCATATTCTAAAAATAAAATTTTCAAGAAATACCATCTTAATATTTTGTGGGAATATTGTATATAATAATTTGTGAACTGGTAAACCTGTAAAATACAAATTGCAAATGTTATCTTGCCCAAAGGTGAACTAGAAGGGATAAATCAGAATGTAAATAGCATCCTATAACATAATCATTTAACAGTAAAGAGAATAAAAAAAAAGAATCTCAGAAACAAAATCTTAAATGATCAAAGATAGACACCAGAGTAAAATAGCAATTAACGTTAAGACTTCCTCTGCATCCAACCCCCCTCTTGTCTTGTTTTATTCCAAGAGAAACTGTTGTAATGAATGCTTGTCAAGGTAATTGATCATCATCTGTAGGTAGCAGCAGCTGCCACAGGACTAACCTGTTAGAACAATAGAGATTGATGCTTGTGTTTTTACAGTGGGAAGGAAATGGCCAACTCATTAAGCAAACTGGATTTGAAATGATTCTACGCAAAGGATACAAGTGTTAAAACAACTAAGCCAAGAAAAGGTCATTTAATAAAGAGAAAGTCCTAAATTGAAAAGAAATTAGAAAAATCAATATTTATCATCTCTCTTTAACAAAGTTCTACAAAGAGAGAATGTGAAAAATCAGCCGACACATCAACGTTTGAAATTTGTCAATTTTAATGAAATCCCAGTGTAACAAATAAATAGGGAAATTTAAAATTGGTGGAATTTATCTTGATTTGCTTCATTTTACAGCATATCAATCTCAATCGGTTTATTTAATGCTGGTAATATTTTTGTTCAAAAATGTATTGCTGGTAATATATTTTCCAAAAATGTATTGCTGGTAAAAAATTTTTGTTCACAAATGTATTGCTGGTAATAATTTTTACAAAAATGTATTGCTGGTATTAAAACCTATTTTTACACTTTCATAGTGTTTTGACTCCAGTTTAGAGGTTAACTATTTGCCCATAGTTGGGACCCTAACAGGTGCTACCACCCTAGGTCAGGGTGGACCTGGGAACACCAGCAATTAAGAAGTGGTTCCATGCTCCACAAAACTTCCTGATCAGAGGCCTAGCTGTCAGATGTAGTTTATCAGCTTACCCAGGATGCAAAATCCCAGTGTAGGTAATAGGTAAATTTAGAATTGGTGGAATTTATCTTGAAATTGTGTGCAAAAGGCAAGATTCTCAGACATAAGTTTGCAAGGATCACAGCCCAGCAAAAATGGTCTCTGACATCAGCACAAAAAATTAAAAAAGAAAAAAAACTGCAGATATTTTCATTATATCTATATATATATTTGGACTAGTTCATTATATATATATATTTGGACTAATTCAGAATTACATGGAATTTTTTAAAATTTACAATATTACTACTACTTCATTATACAAGCACAAATACATTTTTAAAAATCTGCACCAAAAAAATTGGCTTGGAGAAACTCCATTTGTAGATGAAATATTATATACAAGACTGAGAATGCAATGAAAGATGAATTGGAGATGAAACAGGTGAGGAAATAAAATGTAAGGTAGTTTTTAATTTTACTTTAAACAAATTTCAATTTTTTTTACATTCCTCAACAATAGATTTTATATATATATATATATATATATATATATATATATATATATATATATATAAACAAAAGGA